CTGGCCAACATGGTGAAACCCCATCTTTACTAAAAATACAAAAAGTAGCTGGGCGTGGTGGCCTGTGCCTGCAATCCCAGCTACTCAAGAGGCCAAGGCAGGAAAATCACTTGAACCTGAGAGGTGGAGGTTGCAGTGAGCCAAGATCGCACAACTGCAGTCCAGCCTTGGGCAATGTAGCCAAACCCCATCTCTACAAATAACACAAAAAAATTTTGTTGGGTGTGGTGGTGCCTGCCTGTGGCCCCAGCTACTTGGGAGGCCGAGGTGGGAAGATGTAGAATTGCTTGAACCACAAGGCGGAGGTTGTAGTGAGCTGTGACTGAGCCACTGCCCTCCAGTCTGGGCGACAACGTGAGACCCTGTCTCAAAAAAAAAAAAAAAAAGTGGCCGGGCGCGGTGGCTCAAGCCTGTAATCCCAGCACTTTCGGAGGCCGAGACGGGCAAATCACGAGGTTAGGAGATCGAGACCATCCTGGCTAACATGGTGAAACCCCGTCTCTACTAAAAAAATACAAAAAACTAGCCAGGTGAGGTGGCGGGCGCCTGTAGTCCCAGCTACTCGGGAGGCTGAGGCAGGAGAATGGCGTAAACCTGGGAGGCAGAGCTTGCAGTGAGCTGAGATCCGGCCACTGCACTCCCGCCTGGATGACAGAGCCAGACTCCGTCTCAAAAAAAAAAAAAAAAAAAAAAAAGAAAACCTAATTTGGTTTTCGAATAAGACAACAGTTTCTGAAACAGGTCCTTGCCCAAATTCCAGCCTGGCAACTCTGCAGCCATCGCCCCCGCCCTGCCATTTATTTTAACTATATCTGTCTCCACCACTCATGTATTAAATAAATACAATATTGGCCGGGCATGGTAGCTCACACCTGTAATCCTAGCACTTTGGGGAGGCTGAGGCCGGCAGATCCCCTGAGGTCAGGAGTTCGAGACCGGCCTAGCCAACATGGTGAAACCTTGTCTCTACCAAAATTCAAAAATTAGCCGGGCGTGGTGGCGGGCACCTGTTAATCCTAGTGACTGGGGAGGCTGAGGTAGGAGAAATGCTTGAATCCAGGAGATGGAGGTTGCAGTAAGCTGAGATCTCACCACTGCACTCCAGCCTGAACGACAGAGCTGAGACTCAATCTCAAATTTAAATTAATAAATACAATATTAGTATTTTGCTTGCTTAAGTTTTACAAAGAGACAATATCACCATAAAAAGCGGGAAACCGTATGTCTGGCCGGGTGCGGTGGCTCATGCCTGGAATCCCAGCACTATGGGAGGCCGAGGTGGGCAGATCACCTGAGGCCTGGAGTTCCAGACCAGCCTGGTCAACGTGGCAAAACCTTCATCTTGAATAAAAACACAAAAGTTAGCCGGGCGTGATGGGCACCTGTAATCCCAGCTACTCAGGAGGCTGAGGCAGGAAAATTGCTTGAACCCGGGAGGGAGAGGTTGCGGTGAGCCGAGATCGTGCCACTGCCCTCCAGCCTGGGCAACAGAGTGAGACTCTGTCTAAAAAAACACAAAACAAAACAAAACCCAACCAAACCCCAGAAAGTCAAGAATCGCTAGATGGAAGGGGATGGCCGCAGGCCCTGTGACAAATGATCACAAACTTGGTGCCTTAAAGCAACGTTCATTTTCTTACATTTCTGGAAATGAAAAATCCACAATCTGGCTGGGCGCAGTGGCTCAAGCCTGTAATCCCAGCACTTTGGGAGGCCAAGACGGGCGGATCGCGAGGTCAGGAGATCGAGACCATCCTGGCTAACACGGTGAAACCCCGTCTCTACTAAAAATACAAATAACTAGCCGGGCAAGGTGGGGGGCGCCTATAGTCCCAGCTACTCGGGAGGCTGAAGCAGGAAAATGGCGTGAACCCGGGAGGCGGAGCTTGCAGTGAGCTGAGATCCAGCCATTGCACTCCAGCCTGGGTGACAGAGCCAGACTCCGGCTCAAAAAAAAAAAAAAAAAAAAGAAAAATCCAAAATCAGGACCACAGGGCTGAAATCAAGGTGTGTGGAGGCCTCGCTCCTTCCAGAGGTCCCCCCGGGCTCCTTCCTGCCTCTCCCAGCTTCTGAAGGCTCCAGGCATCCTTGGCTTGTGGCCGCATCGCTCCCATCTCGTCTCTGTGGTCGCACTGCAGCCACCTCGTCTGCTTGTGTGAAATCTCCACCTGCCTCTCTATTGTGACCGCGTTTAGGACACTCCAGGACAATCATCTGCATCTCGTTCAGATCTTCAAGGCGTCTTTTGAGACTCTTTTTCCAAATAAGGCAAATGTCACAGGTTCTGGGGATCAGGGTGTGGACTTACCTTTGGGCCAACCACAGAGGCCACAAAGAGGAAAAGACCACTGAATACAAAGCATCCGCCAGCCCAGCCCTGATGGGTGTTGTTGTTGTTGAGACAAAGTCTCCCTCTGTCACCCAAGCTGGAGGGCAGTGGCGCAATCTCGGCTCACTGCAACCTCCACCTCCTGGGTTCAAGCGATTCTCCTGCCTCAGCCTCCTGAGTAGCTGGGATTACTGGCATGAAAAGGAGCGAGGCTCTGATCTGGCCACAGCATGGACGCACCTTGAGGACGTCAGACACAGAGGGACACATAGCGTGTGATCCCCTTTATATGAAGTGTCCACGACGGGCCCATCCACAGAGGCAGGAAGGGGATGTGTGGGTGCCGGGGGCTGGCGGAGGGGATGGGGAGTGACGGCTAATGGGGCTTCTTCTTGCAGTGATGGAATTTTCTGGAACTAGACAGTGGTGGTGGTTACCCAACTCTGTGAGGTACTAAAATCACTGAACTGGCCAGGCGCGGTGGCTCATGCCTGTAATCCCAGCACTTTGGGAGGCAGAAGCAGGTAGATCACGAGGTCAGGAGTTCGAGACCAGCCTGGCCAACATGGTAAAACCCCGTCTCTACTAAAAATACAAAAATTAGCTGGACATGGTGGCAGGCGCCTGTAATCCCAGCTACTCGGGAGGCTGAGGCAGGAGAAACGCTTGAACCCAGGAGGCGGAGATGGCAGTGAGCCAAGATCTTTCCACTGCACTCCAGCCTGGGCAACAGAGCGAAAATCCGTCTCAAAAAAAAATAATAATAAAAATAAAATAAAATCACTGAACTGTGCGGTGTAAGTGGTGAATTGTGTGGTATATGACTGAAGTTTCCGAGGTGTCGTTAAAGAAACTCAGACGCCTGGGGTGGGGCCAGCCTCCCAGCTGTGTGTCCCATCCCCCATCCTTTGTCACAGGGCCTCAGACCACCCTTCTGCGGTGCGGAGCAGACACCCTAGGAAGGCAAGACCTGGGTTCCTGCTGGCGAGAAGTCGGAGGACATTTCTTCAGTGTCTGGTGCTGCACCCTCTGCCCAGCGTGCTCTGTGGAGGGTCTCACTGTCTTCCTCCAGACGTCTCTTTTTTTTTTTTTTTTTTTGAGACGGAGTCTCGCTCTGTCGCCCAGGCTGGAGTGCAGTGGCGCCATCTCGGCTCACTGCAAGCTCCGCCTCCCGGGTTCACGCCATTCTCCTGCCTCAGCCTCCCGAGTAGCTGGGACTACAGGCGCCCGCCCCTGCACCCGGCTAATTTTTTTTTTCTATTTTTAGTAGAGACGGGGTTTCACCATGGTCTCGATCTCCTGACCTTGTGATCCGCCCACCTCGGCCTCCCAAAGTGCTGGGATTACAGGCGTGAGCCACCGCGCCCGGCCCCTCCAGACGTCTCTTTACTGGCCTATTTGACAGAGGCGGAACCCAAGCTTGGGGAGGTGAAGCGAGGCTTGCAGGGCCCCTGGGGTGCTGGCCACAGGGCTCTAGTGTGGGAAGCTAGGCCAGGCTGGACCTCAGCCCTGGGGACCCCTGGCCCAATCTCAGTAGCGGGCCCCTGAGACTGTGGCACCTGCCTCTGTGTGACCCGCCTAAGCCAGGAACAGACGGTCAGGAGATGCCTGAGCCACCAGGAAGGCATCCGGCGTCCAGCCAGACCGGTTATCCCTCCAGAGGGCTCCCTGGCTGGATAGGCCGGTCGCCATGTCTTCACCCTGGTGCTATTTAAAAGTGCGTGCCACCTGGGGCTGTGGCCACGGAACCAGGACAGGGCTGCTGGGAGCTGTGTCCCCACACCGGAGGTCGCTGCCCCTGTCAGGCCTCGGTTTCCCCACCTGTCAATGCCTTCACTTGGCTGTGAGTCTGCGAGGGTCACTGTGCTCACCTTTTGGGACCCAGGGCATGAGGCAGGCCAAGGAGGAGTGGGGGCCAGCCGCCTTGCTGGGTGGTTCCCCGTGGGACCTGGGGTGTGGCTCAAGGGAGAGCAGGTGTGGGTGTGAACGGGACCGCCCCATTCCTGCCGCCTTCGACGTGCCCCGCCGGCCGGCCACCCACAGGTCTACGTGGCTATCCTCCCTCCTGCCCAAACACACGTCCCCAGCCGTCACCTGCCCACCCACCCGCGCATCCCCACACCCTTGTGGGCCTGGCTTTCGGGAAATCACAATTTGGGGGGAGAGCAGTCCCACCAGGGCAGGCCCCGGAGCCCGGCTGGCGGGGCTGACGCACGCGGCAGGACCTCCCGTGTCCATCTCTGTCCCCCCGCATCTCCACCTCTGCCCGACTCGCTGTCTCACTCGTCTCTCCCTGTGTCTCTTGACTGCCACCGTCTCTCTGTCTCTGTCTCCCTCCGGGTCTCTGCGACCCGCGTCTCACACTCCCGCCCCCGCAGCCCGAGGTCCTAGCCCGCCCGGGGACTCGGCTGACTCACCGACACGGCCCGCGAGACAAACACACGCGCGGAGGCCGAGCGCAGAGTCCTGCACGGCAGCGCCCCCGTGCACCTGACCCCCGCCCCCGAGACGCCCCATTGGCCGGCGTCGTAGCCTGGCCCCACCCCCGAGGCACCCCATTGGCCGGCGTCCTAGCCTGGCCCCACCCCCGAGGCACCCCATTGGCCGGCGTCCCCGGCCCCGCCCCCGAGGCGCCCCATTGGCCCCGCCGCGCGAAGGCAGCGCTGCGGTGCCCGGGAGCGAAGAGCGCGCGGCGAACCGGGCGCCGGGTCATGCGCCGCCGCCTGTGGCTGGGCCTGGCCTGGCTGCTGCTGGCGCGGGCGCCGGACGCCGCGGGAACCCCGAGTGCGCCGCAGAGAACGCGCAGCTACCCGCACCTGGAGGGCGACGTGCGCTGGCGGCGCCTTTTCTCCTCCACTCACTTCTTCCTGCGCGTGGACCCCGGCGGCCGCGTGCAGGGCACCCGCTGGCGCCACGGTCAGGACAGTGAGTGCGGGGCGGCGGGGCCCGGGCGGGGGGCGGCGAGTGATGGCACTGAGTGATGGCGGAGGCTCCTCTGTGCAGCCTTGGCCTCAGTTTCCCCCGACTGTGCGATGGGTGCAGCCCTCTTGCTGGGAGGATTGGACTGTTAAAACGAAGACTGCAGGGGGGGCCCGGCTCAGGGGCAGGGAAGGGTCGGTGTGGAACAGCCCTGTGGGTGGGGTCACCCATCTGCAGGTGGGAAACAGGTTCCAGAGGGGCTGGGGCAGGCCCAGCTGCATGGCGGAAGGAGGGGGTTGACCGCCGGACTCCTGACATCACAAAACCGAGTCAGGGCTGCCTCGGTCCGGGCCCCTCTGCTTCTTCCTAGACACCCCATCTGGCAGGTGAGGACAAGGAGGCACACAGAGGGAATGGGGCCTGCCCGGGGTCGCACTGACAGGGGTGGCAGAGCTGGGTCCCCACAGGGCCCAGGACCTCACGGAGCGGGCGTCTCCATCCCCAGGGCCTGCCCAGCACACGGTAGGCCCTCAGCGTTTGTGGAATGTCAGGAGCAAGAGGAGAGGCCGGGCACAGCAGGGGATGTGGGGGTAACCCGGAGGCCAGGGGAGTCGGTGTCCCCGCCGGGCAGGGGGCACTGGGGAGGGGGCCTGGGCTGCTGGCTGCCGCCTGAATCACTACCATTAGGGCAGATAATCACCCCTGCCCTTCCCAGCGCTTTCATCTGGGCGCCAAGGCCCTCATTAGGCCGCACGCGACGAGGGCGGACGGGGGACTGGCTGGGCCGGTCCCTCCATGGCGGGCATGGCCAGGCGGGGTGGCCTCGGGCCAGGGCAGAGGCCTGGCTCTGCTGCGTGACCTGGGACAGTTGCTACCTCTCTCTGAGCCTTGGTTTCCCCAGCTGGACAGCGATGGGGGTGAGGGCTAGCCGAGGGCTCTCCTGCCCTTCGTTCATTCACCGGTCACTAACGGGCACCTTGTGGGTGCTGTGCTCGGCACGGGGGACCCAGTGGCGACAGAGATGCCCACCCTCCCGGGGCTCCCAGAGCAGAGGCGCGCAGCAGTTAGACACAGGAACAAGGGCCCAGGTGGGTGCGCAGAACAGTGAACAGCGGTGTTGGGAGACGCCTTGCCAGGGGCGGGGAGGCGCAGGGCGAGGAAGGGGCCAGGGGAGATGGTGACACAGACACCCCACAACAACCGCCTCAAAGACGTTCCCGTGTGCCCTGGAAGGTCGGGCCTGGAGGCCGCCCCGAGGAGCTTGTACTTTGACAGGGAGCTGGCCGGGCACACGGGGAACTGTGCAGCCGGCTGAGGAAGCGGCAGGCACCCAGGCTGGGGTCGGCAAGTGTGGGTGAGGAGTGGCGGCCGGGCCCAAGGTCCTTGTTGGACAAGACACTTTGGCTCAGGGTGGGGCAGGGTGAGCCCTGGGCCACCCACAGACGACGGGGTCTGCATCTGGCTCTGCCACTCGCTGGCCTCAGTTGGCCTCTCTGTGATGTGGGCTGCGGAGTGGGTTTGGTAGGACAGCTGGCATACAGTTGGCACTCAAGCATGTCTGTGGTGTCCCACTCCAGGCCACTGCCAGTCTGGCCTCCAGTCCGGAGCTCTGAGTCCCAGTGACTGTGCGTGGGCTGAGCCGCTGAGCTATGAGGGCCGGGGCTGGGGCTCCCTGGGGTGGTGCTTGTCGCTGGCTCATTTATGGTCAACAGCGGCCCAGACGGGCCCTGCCCGCTCTGACTCCCACATCCCAGGAACCCTCTGCCAACCTTCCTCGTGGTGTTCCGGCCCCTGGCGTCCCCCTGGATGTCTGGGACCTCCCCCCGCAACACACACACACGGATGCTGCCCTCGCACTGGGTTGCAGGGACAGCGCTGACCTGGCCTGGTGGACTCTCCCACGGGTCCTCGTCGATCCCTGCACTCCCTCCAGCACCAGGGGGCCGTCCTGCTCCTCGTTCCCTCTGCCTGCTCCTCGCTCCTCCTTCACATGCTGGGGGGCTCCTGGTGTCAGTCATGGCCTTGGGGGGGAATCCTGGGTGTCTATCGTGGTCCTGGGGGTCTCCCGAGTGTCTGTCATGGTCAGGAGGGGACCTGTGGTCTGGGGCGGGGGGCTCCTGGTGTCTGTCGTGGTCCTGGGGGGGCTCCTGGTGTCTGTTGTGGTCGGGAGGGGACTCGTGGTCCTGGGGGGTCTTCCTGGTGTCTGTCGTGGTCCTGAGGGTCCTGCACGAAGCACGGTGGACAGCAGCGGTGCTGGGGGGTGAGCCAGTGCCAGCGTGAGCGGCTGTGAGCCAGCGAGGCCCTCCCCCAACCCCCGCCTCCCCCAGGCATCTTGGAGATCCGCTCTGTACACGTGGGCGTCGTGGTCATCAAAGCAGTGTCCTCAGGCTTCTACGTGGCCATGGACCGCCGGGGCCGCCTCTACGGGTCGGTGAGTGCCGGGCAGGGCCGGCCGGCACGGGCGCGGTGGGGGGGTCGGCCGGCCTCACCCCCACCCCCACCCTCAGCGGCTCTACACTGTGGACTGCAGGTTCCGGGAGCGCATCGAAGAGAACGGCCACAACACCTACGCCTCCCAGCGCTGGCACCGCCACGGCCAGCCCATGTTCCTGGCACTGGACAGGAGGGGGGGGCCCCGGCCAGGCGGCCGGACGCGGCGGTACCACCTGTCCGCCCACTTCCTGCCCGTCCTGGTCTCCTGAGGCCCCGAGAGGCCAGCGGCTCCCCAAGGTGCCCAGGCTGGTGGCGAGGGCCCAGCCATGCTTGTTCTTCCCCTTGCTGGCCCCGTAAGCGCTGAGTGCCCACGGCGTGCGGGCGCTGGGGACACAGCACAGGAGCCCCCCAGGGGGACCCCAGCCTGAGGGGACGGCGGCCACCAAGCAGGTCCAATCCTGAGTTGGCGACCTCGAGGACCCAACAGGGCACCTCCTGGGCTGAAGGATGCGGACGTCGAAAGGTTGAGGGGGATGTCCCAGGCAGGGCCCTGCAGAGGCAAGGGCTCAGGGTTGGGAGCACGCTGTGGGGCAGGCCAGGAGAGGAGAGGAGGGGAGGGGAAGGGGGGCGAAGAAGGAGCTGGGGGGACAGTGACAGACACCGCAGAACACCAGCCTCGGAGTCGGTCCCGTCCCGGGAATCTGCAAATGCACTGCCTTGTGAGGACCAAGGCACCCGCAGGTGGGACAGAGATGGGGGAGCATCCGGGGTGGGGGGTCCAGGGCCCCAGTGTCCTCACAGGGTCCTCACGACAGGAGGCGGGAGGGTGAGAGCCAGAGAGAGACGGGGACGGGCTGCACTGTGGAAGGGGAGGAAGGGCCCAAAGCTGAGGGATGTGGGATGTGGGTGCCTCCAGGTGCTGGGGAAGGCGGGAAACGGGTCCCCACTGGAGCCCCCGGGAGGGACCAGCCCTGCCCCACCTTGATACTAGCCTGGTGGGACCCATTTTGGACTCTGGCCTCCAGAACCACCAGAAAATAAATGTCGTCTTTTAAGCCTTCAAGTTTGCAGGCCTTCGTTACAGCAGACGTCGGAAAAATACGGTGTCTGAAACTGTTTTAATGACAAAATAAGCCTCAGTGCCCCTCACATCCCCCGGGAAGGGCAGAGGCTGACACCTCAGTGCCCCTCACATCCCCCGGGAAGGGCAGAGGCTGACACCTCAGTGCCCCTCACATCCCCCGGGAAGGGCACAGGCTGACACCTCAGTGCCCCTCAGATCCCCCGGGAAGGGCACAGGCTGACACCTCAGTGCCCCTCAGATCCCCCGGGAAGGGCAGAGGCTGACGCCTCAGTGCCCCTCAGATCCCCCGGGAAGGGCACAGGCTGACACCTCAGGGCCCCTCACATCCCCCGGGAAGGGCAGAGGCTGAGGGCAGGAGCCGTGCTGGGTGCCGGGCAGGCCTGGGGATTCATGCCGCTGTCCTGCGGGACGTGGGGAGGACTGCTTGTCGGGGTGGGGGTGCCCCCACCTGTGCCCAGCGCCCTCCTGACATCCTGAATCCGCTGGGACATGTGCCTGCAGCACTGGGAGTCAAACTCCAGCCAGGGAAAAGGGCAGAGCCAAGAGCCCAGGTCCACCCCAGCCCCGCAGCCTCGAGCCAGGCAGCCACACCCTGGGCCCGTCTCCCCTTCTGTGTGTGGGTGACAGCACCATAGCCCTGGTGAAAGGGACAGTCCCCGGGGACGGCCAGGGCTCCACCCCCAGCCGCCGCCTTCCACATAAACGCAGGAAAACTGGGCCGGGGCACTTGCTGGGAGGCGCTGAGCAGCCTGACAGGGAAAACCCTTCTGGGAAGGGAGGGTCGTGCCCGGCCAGAAAGCCTCTGCACACCCTGCAGAGAAGGGGGCCCTGCCCCAGGGGACACCAGGCGGCCCCAGGGGACACTTTTGGCTGGCATGGAGCAGGTGGAGGCCAGAGCTGCACCCAGGATGACCCCAGGCTGTCAGCGTCGGGAGATCTGCACACATGGACCAGCTCAGAGGGCGCTGCCACTTGAGTTCTGTTGCCGGGGGCCGCACGGGTCCACGGCTGAAATAGAACTTGCTGGCACCCCACGCAGGAACCTAACGTGTGCCTCAGAGAAACAGGTCAGCAGGCCGGGCGCGGTGACTCATGCCTGTAATCCCAGCACTTTGGGAGGCCGAGGCAGGCAAGTCATGAGGTCAGGAGATCAAGACCGTCTGGATCAACATGGTGAAACCCCGTCTCTACTAAAATACAAAAAATTAGCTGGGTGTAGTGGCACATGCCTATAATTCCAGCTACTTGAGAGGCTGAGGCAGGGAAATCGCTTGAACCCGGGAGGCGGAGTGAGCTGAGGTCGTGCCACTGCACTCCAGCCTGGGCGACAGAGCGAGATTCCATCTCAAAAAAAAAAAGGTCAGCAGTTGTTTCTAAAACGGAGCGTGAAATGAGCAGGCAGTCCAGCACGTCCCGGGGCAGTGAAATCCCCGGGGCAGCGAAATCCCAGTTCACGCAGAGGCCTCAGCAGCTCATTCACAAGCCCAAGCCTGGGTGCCCCGGTGTCCTCAGGCAGCGAGGTGGGGGCTGCACAACAGAGAGAGGCGGCCTGGGGGCACGGAACCAGCCACTCTCCAGGAAATTGCCAGCAGTGAAAATCAGCCAACTCTAAACTGTTGCAAACTGTGCTTCCGCTTACGAAGCACTCCTGAGAGGCAGGGCGATGGGGAGAGGGCGTCCCACCTCCTGTCGTGCAGCAGGCTCCTGGGGCGGGGAGGGCAGCAGGGCGGCCACTTCTCACCACTGTCTGATCTGTGAGCACTGCGGCCTCACAGCCCCCACCAGGGTGCCAGTGTCCTCAGGGCCCAGCGCCCCTGAGGCTCATGCCTGAGTGCGGCGACCTGATCGGTCCTGCTCCTCCGGCCACCGCGGCCACCCCACGGGAGGGAAGTCCCAGCCTCACAGGCAGGCACACACCCCGCAGCATCTCTGACAACGGCCGTCCAGTTCGAGGCCCCAGGCCTCGCAACCGCAAGCTCACCTGCCCAGCCCTGCCCTCCAGCTCCAACTCCACTCCCAAGGACCAGCACGGACACACACAACCCAAGCGTCGTCCCGCTGAACGCCTCCTGACTCAAAACTCCATCTTCCAACACGAAAACGGCGCGAGGCTCCGCCTTTCCAACAGGAAAACGGCTCGGCCAGGGCACCGTGACCCAGAGCAGGCGGCCTGGCCTGTCGCGCAGACTTGGGGCCTAAAACACAGTTGTTCTCTTAGTCTTGAGATCAAGGACAATGCAAGGTGACTTCCCCACCTCGGTGGCCTCCATGCAACCTCGTCTTCAGGTGCCGGGTACGTTACCTCGTGAGGTGCCGAGTCCGCGGGTCCCGGAGTTGGGATGTGCACACCCTCAGGGTTGGCACTCTGCCCTGGCGGCCACAGCCATGAAGTCCCAACGCTTCTCTAGGCTCCACGACCCCGGAGGGCGGCCACCAGGAGGGCTCACCACGGCGTTGCGGTAGCAGAAGTCCAGCAAGTGCCCTAGGCACGGTCAGAACAGGTGGGATCCGAGTTACCTGGCCAAGGGGGCTGACGCAGACACGTCGCGGGACACGGTGAAGAGGGCGGTGTGGAGCGGAGCGGAGGGCGGGAGTCTTTGGAGAACAGGTGGGGGCGTGGGGTACGCACCTCCCGCTCGCAGGAGCCGTCCGCAGTGGAAGGACACGGGTGGTCCTGCTGGCCTCCTCTCCGTTATCCGTCTCCATCGTCTGAGTCTTCGGTCTCAGGGTTGTGGATCGTCAGCAACTGAGACGAACCCACCGTCCTGGCCCCCAGCCCACACGTCCCCAGGCCTTGCCCCAGCTGGCTGCACCCCAGGCCAGGCATCCAGCCACCTTGAGCAGTGGGGTCTGGCTCCTCAGAGGGGCCAGGAACCCGCGTGGCTGCGGTGGAAGCCTGAGGTGCGACCGAGGGTGAGGTGGAGGTGCTGGGCCCTGGTGCTTTAACACTGGTGTTTCTGGTTTTATATTTCACGACCCGGTGTCACCGCCACCCTACCTCGCCAGCAGCCCTCCTGGGCTTAACCTCGGGAAAGCGGGCTTGCTCGTAGGTCCTGGGCGCCAGGCCCTGCAGGAGGCACAGGCCCCTGGAGACAGGACCGGGCTGTGCGGAGCCCAGCCAGCCTCCCAGCTTGGCCCTTTCCCGACACATGGGCGCAGAAGGAAAGCCACACACCGGCTTCTCTTTGTAAGTAGTGTATTTTAAATAGCTTTCAAGATACACATATTTTTTCCTTTAAAAAAGTCTGTTGGAGCAATTTTGTTCTTCAATTTTGCTGGTCATCCTCATGGTCCCGAGCCCCCGAACTCCGGGTCGTGGAGGCGGCCGAGGGGAGGCCGGGGGCCCACGCGGCCTGTCCTGGCGGCACCTGCAGCACTGTGGGGCAGCTGCGCCCCGTCTTTTGCCACAAATCATGCATGGCCGCCGTGTGAGCTAAAACGTCCATTTATTTCAAAGCAGTAATAATTTAAAATTATAAAAATCTTTCCACCGCTGAACGTTTAGAGGGTGAGGTTAGACAGAGGATGGGGAGGCTGGGGACACCCCAGCGGGAACCATGTGGCCCACGCCTTCCCGAGCCAGGGGGCCAGTGGGCCGGGCCCGGATCCTGCCCTGGAACAGGCGGGACCTGCAGCGCTGACCAGCCAAGTGTGGCCCGCCGGGGCACCAGTCCGTGGGTGCCGTGTGGCGCCGGCTGCAGATGGGTGGGAAAGGACCCGTGCTTTCCCGGCGGCCGACGCGGGCTCACGAGTTGCCTGTGGCGTTCTCGTTGCTGGGCGAGCTGGAGGAGGAGGAGGACGACGAGGAGGAGAAGCTCACCCCAGTGAGGCCCGGGGGGTTCGTGGCCGTGTTCTGTCCCGTGAGGCTTTTTCGGCAGACGGGGCAGCTGTCGTGCTTTGTGGGGACAGAGGCGGGGACGGGAGAAGGGGCAGGTTAGAGGCAGGAGGGCCGCGGTCGGGGGGCGGGTGGGCAGGGCACTCACCTGCTCCAGCCAGGGCACGATGCAGCCGTCGTGGAACAGGTGGTTGCAGGGCAGCTGCCGCACACGCTCACCCAGCGCGTAGTCGTCCTTGCACACAGGGCACTCGAGCCCGGAGCCTGCGGGAGTGTGTGGCTGTGGTCACAGGGGGCACAGGGGGCCTGCCGAGCCTTCAAGGGCGGGCTTCTCCACTGCCTCAGTCAGAGGCCACCCCTGAGCCCAGTGAAGGGAGAAAAGCCATGTGTGTGCCCCCGCGGGCCGCCAGAGGGAACCTGGACAGAACCCTCTCCTCCCAGCCGACCTTCAGGAAAATGCCGGAGGCCGGGCGCAGTGGCTCAAGCCTGTCATCCTAGCACTTTGGGGAATCAAGGCAGGAGGATCACCTGAGGTCAGGAGTTCGAGACCTGCCTGGCCAATATGGTGAAACCCCGTCTCTACTGAAAATACAAGTATTAGCCGGGCGAGGTGGCGAGTGCCTGTAATCCTGGCTACTTGGGAGGCTGAGCTCTCATACCTACGTGCTCCTCGGTGACGGGGACGGTGGGGAGGGCCTGGATTTTCTCTTTATCTGCCGGTGGGGGGCCCGTGTTTTCAAACTGATTGAGGAGCTGAAAGACAAGAGGCGAGAGTGCCGGGAGCTCCTCGGGGGCCCGGCCCGGGGCTCTGAAACGCGAGGCTGCAGGACCTGCAAAAGCACCGAGGCCGCATTTGTCCTGGGCCCTGGCCCCTTGGAGCCCGCCCCGGGTCGGAGGTCACTGCGGAGCCCACGTGGCCCCCGCTCCTGGGTCCCCGGACGGCAGAGTGGGGTGGGCCGCGCTCCGGCTCGTGGGCTGCTGTGAGGGTCAGGTCCTGCCAGTGACAAAATACTCCGAGGGCTCCCAGCAAGGCTGAGATGGGCGGTGCCTGGAAGCAGGTCGGGGCGCGACCTCTCGGGAGAGGGACCGCGTGGCCTCCCGAGCACGGGACTGGCTGCGGGTGAACCCTCTGCGCGGTTCCGCTACAACGTTCCGCGTGAACACAGGAGAACCCCCAAGGGTGCCAAGACTCAGAAATGGCAGGAGGAAGGCCGGAGCTGCCCCGTGCCCGCCGGAGCGCGGAGGCTGCGCCCGCATCCCCCTTGACCTTTGTGGGCTTCCTGGGTCTGGGCAGTGGGGCAGCTCCCAGGGACGGGCAGCCCAGCCCACCCCCAGCAGGCACTTGGGGCCGTGGCCACGCTGTACCTGTGTGATGATGGCGTCCAGGCCGTTGGCCCCCCAGGCGTAGTCCATAGGGTTTGAGTGCAGGACTCCCCTGGAGGTGGAAGGTGGGGTTCGAGTGGCTGATGGGCAGCTGGGGCAGGTGCGTCTGCCCACCCCACTCACCAGGGACCCAGGCTGGGGATGGGGACAGACACCCCCACCTACTCACCAGGGACCCAGGCTGGGGATGGTGGCAGGCGTGATGATGCCATTGACAAGCTGCTGGATGATCCTGGAACAGAGGGGGCCAGTCATGGGGTGAGGCCGCCCCACGCACAGGGAGGCGCCAGGCCTGCCCAGGTCCGTGGTAAGCACCAAGGGCAGGACCAGCATTAACTTCTAAATTAGCTTCTATTTGTTTACTTTACTATGAACCAGGGTCTCATTCTGATGCTCAGGCAAGAGAGCAGAGGCTCGATCTTGGCTTACTGCAGCCCCGACCTGCTGGGCTTAGGTGATCCTCCTGCCTCAGCCTCCCAAGCAGCTGGGTCCACAGGAGAGCTCCACCACTCTCAGCTATTTTTTTTTTTTTTTTTAAGATGGAGTTTTGCTCTTGTTGCCCAGGCTGGAGGGCAGGGGCGCAATTTTGGCTCATTACAACCTCTGCCTCCCGCGTTCAAGTGATTCTCCTGTCTCAGCCTCCTGAGTAGCTGAGATTACAGGCATGCGCCACTGCACCCGGCTAATTTTTGTATTCTTAGTAGAGATGGAGTTTCATCATATTGATCAGACTGGTCTCAAACTCCTGACCCCAGTGATCTGCCTGCTCAGCCTCCCAAAGTGCTGGGCTTACAGGTGTGAGACACCACGCCCGGCCTTGACTAGTTTTTTTTTTTTCTTTTGAGACGGAGTCTCGCTCTGTTGCCCAGGCTGGAGTGCAGTGGCCGGATCTCAGCTCACTGCAAGCTCCGCCTCCCGGGTTCACGCCATTCCCCTGCCTCAGCCTCCTGAGTAGCTGGAACTACAGGCGCCGCCACCTCGCCCGGCTAGTTTTTTTTGTATTTTTAGTAGAGACGGGGTTTCACCGTGTTACCCAGGATGGTCTCGATCTCCTGACCTTGTGATCCGCCCGTCTCGGCCTCCCAAAGTGCTGGGATTACAGGCTTGAGCCACCGCGCCTGGCCTAGTTTTTTAAAATTAGAGACGGGACCTCCCTATGTTGCTCAGGCTGATCTTAAACTCCTGTCCTCAAGGATCCTCCCTCCTCGGCCTCCCAGAGCACTGGGACTACAGCGCTGAGCCACCGTGCGGCGAAATCAGCCACTTTTAACGATGATATTTCCAGCAGGTGAGACACACAACCATAGAAGGATCAATCGCCAGGAGAGGGGAGGCCCGGGCTCTGCTCCACCAGCAGGGGGGCCCAGTGAAGGCTCGCCCAGGCTCTGGTCCAGGCCCAAGGGCAGGACGGTGTTTGATGATACGCATGTGAACAGCAGTCCCCAAAGTACCGTGGGCCTGGCAGGCGCGCTGCGCCCCGCTCTGTGGTCAATGCACACGCCCTGGACCAGCACACTTCTGTCTCTGAAGGGCTGTGTGGGGCCCCCACTCCCAGTGGGTCACAGACCGAGGCTCTCAGAGAGTGTGGGGGTCACGGGGCTGGAGCACCTGGCCGGGCGGCCTCTCCAGAGAGCCTTCGGATGACGCCACACTTCCGTGGAACACGTGCTGCTGAATTCTAAGCACCAGAACTTCCGACCTCACGGCGTGGGGCCCTCGCGGCCACCCCCGGGGCCCCCTCACCCTTCCAGCGTGGGGACGCCTTCGTGCCGGCCGGTGGCCCGCCGCGTGGTGAGGCGGGCGCGGGGCTGCCGGGCGCCATACCGGTGCCGGGACGGATGGTCTCTCTCCCGCCGGCTCTCAGGGTCCCTGCCTTCATCAGCCTGAGCCCCAGGAGGGAACGTAGGGATCTCGAAGCTGTCATCGAAGATGCCGAAAGCAAACTGTCCGTAGCCCTGCGGCAGCGTGAACAGGTGCTGATCCACGTGCTGAGGAGAGGAGGGGGCGTGACCTCGGGGCTCAGGCCGGTGCAGGGGAGAGGAGGGGGCGTGACCTCGGGGCTCAGGCCGGTGCAGTCTGCTGGGGGCACTAGGGCACAAAGACAAAAGAGAAAGCAAGACGGGCCCTGCTGGGTGCTGGGTGGGAGGGAGGCGGGAATTGGGCAGAGCCTGCCTGGCTGGTGTGAGCCGCCTTGACGAAGTCTCACTTTCATCAGCCCCAACTGAGCAGCGTGGGCCACCCCAAACCCAGCCCGGGCCCCTGGAGGGATGGATGTCCTCTGCCGTACGGGCAGGGAGAGCCCAGGGAGGCAAGGTGGGGACAGGCTGGTGCTCGGGGCCCTGAGCAAGGCCGACAGGATCAGGAAGCACGAGGGGTGGGCGACTCACCTCCAGTGGTGGCCGGCTCTGGTCCGTGGGGGCTGTGGAGGGGGCAGAACCATTTTCTGTGCTCCTGGGAAGACAGTGAGTGTCAGCAGCACTGGCTGCCCCGTGTCCCCATGCGCCAGGCGCTCCCTCCCCTCAAAAGCCTGTGTTGGGAGAGTGGCACTGTCCTCAGCACTGCTTCCCACCTGCCACCGCCCCTGCATTTGGTACCATAACCTGCCGCTTCTTCCCTCGCCAGTAAACCACAGGTTTCTCTGGAAACCAGTGCAGACACCAACAACCTCCTGAGTGTGAGGATGTGGGTGGGGCCCCCGTGGCCCCTTCCCCGGAGGGCCTGGGTCACCAGATCAGTCGCCAAGGCTGAGGGAGGTCAGCGGCTGCACAGGTCGCCAGCACTCCCCTCCGGCCCGGCCCTCACAGAAGGGAATGGCACGCTGCTGCCCGCACAGAGGAAAGGGCTCCCAGAGCCACGGACGCCAGGGCCTGCCAGCCACACACCCGGGGGGTTGGACGCCAGCACAGCCCCCACCCCTACGGCAGCTGAGGCCCGGAAGGCTCTCCCAGCCTCTTGAACGGGGGGCTGCATTACCTGGTCTCTTCCGGAAGCTCCTCAATGAAACCAGACTCGCATCTTGGACAGATATAATCCTGTAGGAGAAAACAGGAGGCCGGGTCACGGCGACGCCTGGCATGACCTGCAAAAACCCCTCAGGGGTGAGGACAGAGGGGCTCCGGACCCAGTGGTCTCTGGCTGGCCAGGGTGGCTCCCAACCTGTGGTCCTGGAGGGCAGCCGAGGGGACCTGGCCTCTGCCGGCCACCTGCTGACCCTTTGGTGGTTCCCGGCGATCTGATGCCCCACCATGACGGGCATCACCAGCGCCTGGGCACCTACTCACACAGGTGGCACCACTCGGAGGGGTGCCCCGATATCCCTTTTCCAGAATGCTCTGGCAGCCCTGCACACAGCTCGTTCCCCTGGCTGGGGGGAGGCCACGTCCACACTGGCCACACCCCTGCAAGACCTCATTCCCAGGTCCCCCTAGAGCCAAGCACAATGCGAGGCCAACACGGTGATGTCCCAGAGGAGAAATGAGGACCCTGCCAGGGGACAGCTGCGTGAGCCCCAAACCCACATTCACGGTTCCCCAGCACCAGCCTCAAGCCACAGCCATGCCGAGGGTGGATGCCATCCCCTGTGGACCTCACACTGCAAAGGGATCCCCAGGGCTGGAAGGGCCTGCTGGAGGCACTGGCTCATGGGGCAGACCCCTCATGGATGGCTGGGCCCCTGGTGATGGTGGAGCGGGCCGAGCATTCGTGGGGCCTGGGCTGAAAAGCGTGTGGTGCCTCCTGGCCTCACGAGGAGCTGGGCAGATGCCGATGCAAGCTTCTCGCACAGTCTGCAGAACTGGAAACCGGAAGCCAAATCAACCTCTCTCTAAACGACCCCGCGGGCTCAAGTACTCCACCGCAGCGACGTGAAAACGGCCTCACATGGCACGTGTCATCACGGAAAGTACTCCACCGCAGCGACGTGAAAACGGCCTCACACGGCACGTGTCATCACGGAAAGTACTCCACCGCAGCGACGTGAAAACGGCCTCACATGGCACGTGTCATCACGGAAAGTACTCCACCGCAGCGACGTGAAAACGGCCTCACACGGCACGTGTCATCACGGAAAGGGCTCACACGGGGGTCCCGAGATCACCGCCAGGTAACACCGACAAAAACAGGGAGACGAGGCTCCCACGGTCCAAGGGGTACTGCTGTGAGGGGAGCCAACGCAGACCCCAGGCTCTGGGGACGCAGGTTCCACAGGGGCTGTTCAGTCCCAGCGGGGCGGGGGCTAGGACCTAGTCAGCTGTGGTCCCCTCTCCAGCAAGCAAGATCCCAGCCTCACCCGCTGACTCTGGGGAGAAACGGGGGTCTGGCGGGCAGTGCTCGAGGGGAGGGACGACAGCTGGGTCCCTGCCCACACCACACGGTGCCCGCCTCAGCTGCTCCTGCCACTGAAGCACGTGCTGGGTGGGGAGGGACTAAGGCCAGGGCGAGCGAAGGATGCCAGATGCACGCGAACCCACCGTGAGGGCAGAGTAAAGACGCACCATCTACAAATATAAAAAAAGTGCTGCCGGCTCCTGGTGAGGCCGGCAAGCAACACACGCTTTTCAGCCCAGGCCCCACGAATGCTTGGCACACTCCGCCATCACCAGGGCGCGGTGGCTCAGGCCTGTAATCCCGGCACTACGGGAGGCCGAGGCGGGTGGATCACCTGAAGTCAGGAGTTGGAGACCAGCCTGGCCAACATGGTAAAACCCTGTCTCTACTAAAAATACAAAAATAGGCCGGGCGTGGTGGCGGGTGCCTGTAGTCCCAGCTACTGGGGAGGCTGAGGCAGGAGAATGGCGTGAACCTGAGAGGCAGAGCTTGCAGTGAGCCGAGATCGCGGCCACTGCACTCCAGCCTGGAGTGAGACAGAGCTGAGACTCTGTCTCAAAAAAAAAAAAAAAAAATTGCTGGCCGGGATGGTGTCTCCCACCTGTAATCCTGGCACTTTGGGAGGCCGAGTGGATCACCTGGAGTGAGGGGGCCAGGTCGTAGGTTGAGGGGGAGCCCATCTGGGGGACTTCTGGGTGATTTGGGTGGATCACCTGAGGCCAGGAGTTCAAGACCAGCGTGGCCAACATGGAGAAACCCCGCCTCTACTAAAAATACAAAAATTAGCCAGGTGTGGTGGCAGGTACCTGTAATCCCAGCTACTCAGGAGGCTGAAACAGGAGAATTGCTTCAACCCGGGAGGCAGAGGCTGCAGTGAGCCAAGATTGCGCCATTGCACTCCAGCCTGGGCGACAGAGCGAGACTTCATCTCAGAAAAAAGAAAAAAAGAAAGAAAAAAAGAAAAGAAAAAGAAAAGACAGCCCAGGCCAGGTGCAGTTCATGCCTGTGATTCCAGCACTTTGGGAGGCCAAGGTGGGCGGATCACTTGAGGCCAGGAGCTTGAGACCAGCCTGGCCAACGTGGCCAAACCCCATCTCTACAAAACCAAATTAGCTGGGTGTGCTGGGGCAGGTCTGTAGCTGCAGCTACTAGGGAGGGGGAGGCAGGCAGGAGGGGGAGGCAGGAGGCAGGATGGCTTGAGTCCAGGAGGTCGAGACTGCAGTGAGCTGTGGTCCCACCACGGCACTAGCCTGAGTGACAGAGCCAGACCCTGCCTCTAAAAAAAAACAAAGGGAAAGAGAAACAGATAACCCAGCCGAAAACGGGCAAAGGACCGGCACAGGACACGCCTCCAAACCGCGCACCGGGAAACACAGCCGGCCAGCCCCGGCGAGACGCCACTTCCCGGGGCCGGCGAGGACGAGATGCGAGACCCCATCCAGGCCTGCTGGGAGCCCAGAAGCCCCCCAGATGGAACAACCCCACGACCTGCGAACGGTCCCCTCACTCCAGGCACACCCGGGAGAAACGAAGACACCTGCCCACACTCGTTCACGGGGCCAGAACGGTCCCCTCACTCCAGGCCCACCCCCGAGAGAAACGAAGACACCTGCCCACCCTCGTTCACGGGGCCAAAACCAGCAGGTGAGTGTCCATCGTCGTCGCCGGCAGGTGGGAGCAGCTCCAGTGCCCACCGGAACCTCAGAGCACGACTCAACCACGGAAAGGAGTGAGGCCCAGACCAGGCCACGCGGGTGGGGATGCATCTTGAGGACATGATGTCCAGTGAGAGACGCCAGACACAGAAGGCCACACAGCGTGTGATCCCATGTCTGTGAAATGTCCAGGACAGGCCGAGCCGCAGAGACAGTGCCGGCGCCTGGCGGAGGGGACGGGCAGTGACGGCTGACGGGGACGAGGTGGGTTTCTTTTTGAGGCCGTGAGAATGCTCTGGAATTAGACTGTGGTGGTGGTTGCACAACTTTATGAACATACCACAAACGCTTCACCGGGTGGGTTGTGTGGTGTGTGAAAACACTGAGATAAAGCTATTAAAATACATGGGCCAGGCGACTGTGGTCCCAGCTGCTCGGGAGGCTGAGGTGGCAGGATCTCTTGAACCCGGGAGGTGGAGGCTGCAGTCAGCCAAGATTGTAGCAACAAAGTGAGGCAGCGTCTCAAAAAAAAAGGGGGGGCGGGGTGTGGTGGCTCACACCTGTAATCCTAGCACTTTGGGAGGCCAAAGTGGGCAGATCACTTGAGGTTAGGAGTTTGAGACCAGCCGGGCCAACATGGTGAAACCCCGTCTCTACTGAAAATACAGAAATTAGCCGGGCACGGTGGTGGCGCCGGTAATCCCAGCTGCTCGGGGGCTGGCACAGCGCTCAGCCGCTCCGGTCCCAATGTGCCGAGCTCAGCCCCTCTGCATCACCTGGCTCTCTATCGGGCTCCTGGGTTCCCATCTCAGTCCAGGGCACAACGCACGGAAAGTTCCCGCCACCCACACTGCGGGCTCACGACAGCCCAACCTGACCACACACACACTCGTCTGCCCCAGCCCTGGCCTCCTCCTGGCCCCCGCTGTCCTGCCCGTAGCGGCCGTGGGACCTGGTGCCACAGCACCGTCCAGAACCTCTCCCTGCAGCACCCACTTGGGAGTCGGGGCCTGTGCGTGTCGGCTCTGCTGCCGGCATGCCCACCCCAGGTGGTTCAAAGGTCACCTCTCTGCTCCAAGCCTCCGCCCTGTCATGGAGGACTCACTCGTATCTGAAATCCGGCCGCCAAGGGCTGTGACCCAGCTCCTGGGTGTTGTCAGGGCTCTGGGCTGTCCCTCAGGCCCCTGGCCAGCCCCTCCAGGGCCACCAAAGGCCGCAACCGAGGCTCTGGTCACGAAGGCAAGTCACAGGTGGATCCCAGATATCCAGGGTAGAGGCCGAGCCTCTACTCTCAGGTGGTGGGAGGGGCTGGACCTGGGGGTCTCCAGCCACCCTCCTCCTCCAAGGGCACAGCCGAGAGGTCGCTTGATCTCATATTAAATCGGAGCAGCCACAGGTAGAAACGCCTGGGCAAGGGGGCCTGGTGGAGGAGCTGCCCCACCTTCTCCGGGGGCAGCACGCACTGGGGGCCCCCACAGAGGCCCCACTGGAGCCTCCGGTCCTAGCAGAGGATTGTGAATCTGCTCACCTCTCCCTCGGAGGACAGGTGCAGGAGGTAAGATCACTCCCCCCCACCCCCGTCATCACCATAGCAACAGCTGGCCAGGCAGCAAGGGCGGCGGGAGCCTGCCGGTGCCGGGCCCCACCTGTGCACCCCGAGGGGTGCGATGGCCTCATCCCTGGGTGGGACCTGGCAGGGCAGCCGGGGCCCTTCATCCACAGGGCCTGCATAGGGCCCATGTCCTGAGGGCCCAGGGCCAGGCGTGTGGAGGGGAGTGGGCTGGGGACCTGCAGGCCCCAGAGGACTGACTGCCTGGAGACAGTGACTCGGCCCCCGTGGGCGGCAGGGCCCTCAAGGAGCTGTGCGCATCAGGAGACCCAGGGAGGAAGACGGCGTGGCCCTCGGCCTCAGTGGGAGCCCCGTGCGGGCTACTGTTTTCCTAAAGGATGCCCAAAGCTTCCCGGCTCACCCACAGTGTGTGGGCCCCACAGCCGCAGAGGCACGGACACGTGTGGCGCCTACACCCCTTTCTTCCCGCCCTCAGCAGCTGCCACCACATCCCACATTCACACTGTCTGTCCCTGGGCCCCACGCACCACGCACTCCCGGGACAAGCTGGGCGGACGAGGCGTGAGCGAAGCCGCTGCCTAGACCTGCTGGGGCCCCACCTCACACCCCAGCGGGTGCCTCGGCCCAGACCCCGAACTCTGCCTTCTCCTTCCCAGGTGGCTTCAGGCACCGCCACTGGGGACCGGAACGCCACACGTGCCCGTCCGTGCCGGTGCCAGGGGTGCCGCAGCTCTCCTGAGGCTCGGGAAGGTCCTCGTGGTGGCAGAGTTCTGAGTGCGAGGAAATTCAGCACCAGCAGCTGCCTGAGGCAGACCCCTGCACCAGCCGGCCGGACAGAGAGGTCAGCCGACACCCACAGGTTCCCTGGGTATTGCTGGTGCCCGATCACAACGCCAGGCTCCATGCTCACAGGGTGCTGCAGGGAGCCAGTTCCAGAGAACCCAGCTGTGCGGAGTCGTTTCAGGGTGCCGGCCGGACGCTCGCGAGGCAGGGCTGTTACTGTCACAGCATCTGGCACAACCGCAGACACAGAGCAAGCAGCGGCCAGAGACAGACGCCGCACAGCCCGGGAAGACTCGCGTCCGCGCTGCTCAGGAGGCCTGGGAGGGCCAGGCCGCTGCAGGGACGAGGAGAAGACAGGGTGGGCTGGGGGGCAGCTGGGGAGACTTCCTGACCGGCACCATCGGTGACACTGGCCACAGCAGCCCTCACTTTCCCGGTGGCTCCCAGCCCATGCCGCCTCTTCCCCACCCTGGGCAGCAGGGTCCAGCACCCCCACTGTCTTCTCACCACTCGGGGACACTGCAGAGGCCCTCAGGGGTGGGGGGCTGAGCAGGCAGAGCTGAGACCACCCTAGGAACCACCCAGAGACAGGGAGCTCAGGGACAGGGACGGCACCCAGGGCCACCTCCCTGCGCCCGCCCGGCTCCCGGGGGCTCAGTGCCCTCAGCAGGTCCCTGCCCACCGGATGTTCTCGCCCACACCCTACTGTCACAGCACCGCACTCAGCACCTCCTCGGCAGGGTCGAGTCTGGGTCTGAGCAGCCGCCTGCGGCCTGAGCTCCAGCTGGCCTGTCTGGTTCCTGCCACCACACGCCCCACTCCGGCTGACGCTTCCTTTCCTTAGACACCCAGACGCTCTCGTCACTGCCTCTTTTTTTCTTTTTTTTTCTCCCCGAAGGAGTCTTGCTCTGTCGCCCAAGCTGGAGAGCAGTGGCACGATCTCAGCTCACTACATCCTCCGCCTTCCAGGTTCAAGCAATTCTCCTGTCTCAGCCTCCTGAGTAGCTAGGATTACAGGTGCCCGCCACCACACCCAGCCAATTTTTTGTATTTGTATTTTTATTTTTTTGAGACGGAGTCTCGCTCTGTCGCCCAGGCTGGAGTGCAGTGGTGCAATCTCGGCTCACTGCAAGCTCCACCTCCAGGGTTCACACCACTCTCCCGCCTCAGCCTCCCGAGTAGCTGGGACTACAGGCGCCCGCCACCACGCCTGGCCAATTTTTTGTATTTTTAGTAGAGACGGGGTTTCACCGTGTTAGCCAGGATGGTCTCGATCTCCTGACCTCGTGATCCGCCCGTCTCGGCCTCCCAAAGTGCTGGGATTACAGGCGTGAGCCACCGCGCCCAGCCAGTTTTTTGTATTTTTAGTAGGGACGGGGTTTCACCATATTGGCCAAGGCTGATCTCAACTCCTGACCTCAGGTGATCCGTCTACCTCAGCCTCCCGAAGCACCAGGACCACAGGCGTGAGCCACTGTGCCCGGCCTCGTCACCACCTTTCGTGGGGGCAATTGTCGCCCCTGTGCCGTCGCCTGAGCCTCCGACTGCGAGTGTGGCTCCCCGCTCAGGGCACCCTCACAAGTCACCAGGAGAGCAGCCAGGTGCTGGCCACTCTGCACACACGTGCCCACCGGATGCCATGGGGAGCGAGTCGTACCACCAAACCCACGTCGCAGGTGAGGAGACTGAGGCCCAGGCTGCCCAGCGGAGAGCGGCCCAGCCGTGTGGGGCCTCAGCCTGATCCCAGAGCCCAGGAAGGCAACGGAGGCCTGGAACAGCCCAGCTGCCTGGGGGAAGCCCTTGTGGGCAGGCACACAGCCCACGGCAGCCGGGCAGCCAGTCTCCTCTGCGTCAGAGGCAGGCAGGAGTGTCCTGCCAGCCAGCCCAGGTGTCTCAGCAGCAGCACCGCCGCCTCAGACTCAGCTGCCGCGCAAGCTCCCCATCGGCAGAGACGCCGTTTCGAGGGCGCTGGCTGTGGCTGGGGACTTTCCCCATTACCAGATTCGGAGCAGCCTTCCCTCCTTCCCGCCCCAGAACCAGGTGTGCCCATTTCCCAGCACAGAAAACTCGTTTTTGAGACAGCGTCTTGCTCGTCACCCAGGCTGGAGTGCAGTGGCACCATCACGGCTCACCGCAGCCTCCACCTGCCAGGCTCAAGCGCTCCTCCCACCGCAGCCCCCGCCCGGAGCTGGGACTCCAGGCGCGCAGCAACACACCCCACTAATTGTTTCAGTAGAGACAGGGTCTCGCCACGCACAAAGAAGTTCTGACACTACAACGCTGTCTACGGGTGCCTTGTTGCGTCCTGCTCCAAAGGCACAAGCAGGTGCCCTCTGGATCACCTGTGGGGTGGAGACAGGCAGTCCTGCGGCAGCCCTCCCTGTAGTTATTTGCTCTTAAGGAATTTACCAACGTCCATGATTAAATATTTGTCAATCACTGTTCCATGCTGGCTCCCTGGCCAGCCTGTAAAGTCTGTGAGGGCAAAGACCACAACTACCTGTCACCACTGAGATCCTGTGACCACAGGAAAGCCTCGCCAGGCCCAGTGACAGTCAGAGGAGGTCAGGGTCCTCCCTGTCCAAGGCCACCAGTCCTGTGCAGGCTCCAGGAGCAGCTAAGTGTGCAGCCAGGTCAGGGCAGCGTCGGCCCCCCCGCCACAGCCACCACTTCGGCCTTCCCGGGGGCCTCCCAGGGCCTGTCCCACGGCTCACAGCGGCTGCGAGGGGCTGCCCTGCAACTCACCCAGGCAGGCAGGCTGTCAGGCAACCAGCCCCTCCTGTCACGGCCAGTGGGGACAGGAAGCGAGCGAGACCCCTGGGAGACAGAGGAGCAAGGCAAGGCTCAGTCTCAGCCCCAGAGCCTTCACCCCACATCCGAGATTTCACTTTATTTGTTCCTCCTGCGGGGGAGGGGAAACCCGGTGGCTTCAGTAGAGAGGAAACCACACCTCTCTCTCCACTTCTGGGCCTGGCACCGCTGTCCTGCCATGCCCCACTCTAGCACTCGTTCCTCCTCTGTGACCCCAGCCAGGCGGCTTCTCCCGACTCCCTCCAGCCCCTTCCTGGGTCTCTGCACTGCTTGTTGGGGGCTTGGGCTCCCCTTAGGGGTCAAAGCGTAGCAACAGCCAGGCGGCAACGCACACAGCACAGTAAATCCTCAATGCCTGCAGTCTCTTCCCCTGGGCACGGGGTGGGGAGTCCAGACCCCTCCACCTCCTGCAGCTGCTCCCCTCAAGCTCGTCAAGCGGCTCCGGACTGAGCCGGCTCTGCCCCTTTCCTGCTAAGCCACCACAGGCCTCAGTTTCCCCATCTATCAAGCAGGCGTGGCTCGACTAAATCACCACTTCCCACGTCAGCCTGGGGAAGGGGAACACGGGTTAAAAATGCAGACCACCGCCGGCCACGGTGGCTCACATCTGTAATCCCAGCGCTTTGGGAAGCTGAGGCAGGAGGATCGCTTGAGCCCAGGGGTTCAAGACCAGCCTGGGCAACACAGGGAGACCGTGTTCCTAAAAATAATATTAAAAATACAGACTGCTGAGCCCATTCCACACCGACTGACTCCGAAACCCTGGAAAAGGGGCCTGGAAATAGCACGTCCGACCAGCACAGCTCCCACCTCCCCCAAGGTGACATCAGGGCCGCGTGGGGAACCTTGCCCTGAACGAGCAGGAAGTAGCACTCGGAACGCCTAGGCCCAGGGTCCTCCCGGGCGAGGGGTGGCTGTAAACACCTCGAGGAGGAGGGGGCTGCCCGGCCAAGCCCCGGTAGGGGAAGAACGCAGGCTCCGGTCACAAAGCCCCGCCGGGGGGCCGCGCTCGGACCCCGGGACGGTGCCTGGAGCCTCCCGGGCCTGGGCCTGCCTCCAAGGCGGCGGCCAGGGCTCCACAAGGCGAACCTGCAGCGAGGCGCCGGCGCCCCAGACCACGCGCTCGGCGGGGGTCCCCTGGCGTTATTCTCGGGGTCCGAGCCCCGCCATCCCCTCCTCCAGGCCCCGCCAGGCCTGGCCCCTGCCCTGCGCCGCGCCACCGAGCAATACCCTCTCTCTGCTCGCCAGGCCTCAGTTTCTCCGTTTGCAAAACCAGGCTCACCGGACTCCGAGGTCCCACCTGGGATCCTCGCGGCCTCTCGGGTCGGGAACGCCGCGGATGTGGGGTCACCCAGCCGCGATCCCGCTGCGCCGCTCCGGCCAGGCCCCGCCTCCCGCCCAGGCCTCAGTTTCCCGCATGTGCAGGACGGGGTTCGCGCCCGCACCGCCCGGGTTCCCCGCGGATCCAGCCTGGGCCGGCGCTGCCCCGAGCCTCAGTTTCCCTATCTTGGCCAGCTCGCGCAAGCGACCCCCACCCCGGCCCCGGCCTCGGCCTTGCCTCAGGCCTGTGGCACAGACCCTGTCGCCCGTCGCCCTGGCCCGGGCCTCACCGGCAGGCGCGGGACGATCTCCACGGAGCAGCAGTGGCAGAAGTACCGTCCGGGCTGCGGCGACGCCTCGGCCATGGCCGCCGCCGCCTACTCCGCGCCGCCCGCCCCCCGCGCGGCGCCCGCCGCCGGCCGTTTGCTGCTCCCTCGCCGGCCGACGCGCCCGCGCACGCTCACGCACGGCACGCACGGCACGCGGGGCGGAGAGCGGACGCGGGAGCGGCGTAGGCTGCGCACTCGGCCGGCCGCGGACAGGGCGACGGTGGCCGCTGAGAGACAAAATAGGCCCGGCCGTTGGGCGGGGCTCCGGGCGGGGGCGGGGTTCCAGCGGGGGTGGGGCTTCCGACGGGGGCGGGGCCAAGTCCAGGCGGCGGAAGAGACGAGGAGCGGGGCCTGCGCGAGATGGAGCCGAGGCCCTCCTAGTCTCCCGAAGCTGCCAGGGTCCTCGTGTCCCTCAGTGCTTCCCTACCTCATCGCCTTCTCCCTTCATGGTGCTTCAGCCCACTGTCCCCACTGTTCCTGGGGCTCGCCAGGCGCCCTCTCCCCGCCCCCTCCCGGTGCAGCGCTCCCCCAACCCCCACGTGGCTTTCTTCCAGGTCTTTGCTCAAATGTCAGCTTACAAGGGCTCCTCTGCTGCCCTCCTGCCCCGTGGCACCGTCAGGTCAGCTGCGCAGCGAAGGGATTGTTGGACCCACAGCAGCGACTGACACACAGCAGGCATTCCCTCAGCGCTGCGGAATACAGGCAGACGGGGGCTCAGGGCGCTGCCTGGGCCTGGCTGGGACCCGTGGGGTCAGATAGAGGCTGAGGTCCGTGGCTTGTGGCCCTGTTTCCAAGATGCTCCGGAGGCTGACGGCCCAGGAGCCTCCCGGGTGCGGAGAGAGCAGGAAACCTAACCCCCACTTCCAAATTTAATCAGTAGACACGGTATCAACACCCAGCGCAGGCCAGGATCATGTCTGAGGTTCGTTCTGGCCCAATCATGCATGTATTTGTTTTTTTTTTTTTTTTTTTTTTTTGAGACAGAGTCTCGCTCTGTCGCCCGGGCTGGAGTGCAGTGGCCGGATCTCAGCTCACTGCAAGCTCCGCCTCCCGGGTTTATGCCATTCTCCTGCCTCAGCCTCCCGAGTAGCTGGGACTACAGGCGCACGCCACCTCGCCCGGCTAGTTTTTTGTATTTTTTTAGTAGAGACGGGGTTTCACCGTGTTTGCCAGGATGGTCTCGATCTCCTGACCTCGTGATCCGCCCGTCTCGGCCTCCCAAAGTGCTGGGATTACAGGCTTGAGCCACCGCGCCCGGCCTGTTTTTTTTTTTTTTTTTTAGACAGAGTCTGACTCTGTCACCCAGGCTGCAGTGCAATGGCACAGCCTCGGCTCACTGCAACCTCCACCTCCTGGGTTCAAGCGATTCTCCCGCCTCAGCCTCCCGAGTAGCTGGGACTAAAGGTGTGTGCCATCACACTGGCTAATTTTTGTATTTTTAGTAGAAATGGGGTTTCACTATATTTAGCCAGGCTGGTCTCGAACTCCTGAATCATGATCCGCCCACCTCGGCCTCCCAAAGTGCTGGGATTACAGGCGTGAGCCACCGCACCCGGCCTCATGCATGTATTTCTTTATTCACTCAACGCTCATTGAGCACCTCCTGCATACCAGACCCTATGCTGAAGGCACGCAGAGACCCCCGGCCCCATGAGATTGGACCGGAGTATGGGACTCAGGGGTGACCCCAGCTCTGCCTCGGGAGAGAGAAAGGGCTTCCGAGGGGAAAGGACATTGGAACCAGGGTTTTGAGGGATGAACAGGATTTGACTGGAGTTGGACTTCCTGCAAAATGAGGCATTGGAGCCAGACTGTTGAGGAATTAAGAGTTGGAGCCTGTGCATTGAAGGGTTTTTTGTTTGTTTGTTTGTTTTGTTGTTGTTTGGTTTTTAGAGATGGAGTCTGGCTCTGTCGCCCAGGCTGGAGTGCAATGGCACGATCTCGGCTCACTGCAACCTCCGCCTCCCGGGTTCAAGTGATTCTCCTGCCTAAGCTTCCCCAGTAGCTGGGATTACAGGCCGGGCACCACCACGCCTGGCTAATTTTTGTATTTTTAGTAAAGAAGGGATTTCGCCATGTTGGCCAGGCTGACCTCAAACTCCTGACCTCAGGTGATCTGCCCGCCTCGGCCTCCCAAAGTGCTGGCATTACAGGCGTGAATCACCAAGCCCGTCCTGCATTTAGGGTTTTTTTTGTTTTTGTTTTTGTTTTGTTTTGTTTTTTTTGAGACGGAGTCTCGCTCTGTCGCCCAGGCTGGAGTGCAGTGGCGCGATCTCGGCTCACTGCAAGCTCCGCCTCCCGGGTTCACGCCATCCTCCTACCTCAGCCTCCCGAGTAGCTGGGACTACAGGCGCCCACGACCGCGCCCGGCTAATTTTTTGTATTTTTAGTAGAGACGGGGTTTCACCGTGGTCTCGATCTCCTGACCTTGTGATCCGCCCGCCTCGGCCTCCCAAAGTGCTGGGATTACAGGCGTGAGCCACCGCGCCCGGCCCTGCATTTAGGGTTTTGAATGTCGGAGGTTGTGGACGGGCTTGAGCCTCCTTCCTGTCCGTCTTTTCAGCAGCGAGAATCCAGTCATTCCTGCTCTGACCACCAGAGAGCGCACGGGCCCCGTCCCTGGGAATCCAGGAAAACCCCAGGCCGGGGAGGAGCAAGGCTTGCAGATTCAACACCAGGCCTCCCAGACCCAGCCCCTGCACCAGCCTTGGCGCTGCAGAAGTGTAGAAGGAGCAGCAGGCCTGGTTCAAAACGACACCAAACCACGAACTGGCTGTGTGTCCCTGGGCAAGTGGCTTAACCTCTCTGAGCAGGCGGCAGAACCTGAGGGTTTTCCGTTGGCTCGGGGCAGACGTGAGGACCCCTTGCACCTCCTCAGCCCTCCCTATGCTCTGCTGCCTGCCCTGAGTCACCTGCCCCTCACTGACCCCTCCCCAGCCTCACTGGCCGCCTTGGGTGGGTTGAGCAGTTTCCCACCTTGGGACCTTGCAAGGCCATTCCCTCTGCGGGTAGTCCTTCCCCAAGTCCCCTCTCCTTCCCCTGCTTTTATTTTCTTTTTTTTTTTTTTTTTTTTTTGAGATGGAGCCCAGGCTGGAGTGCCATGGTGCGATCTCAGCTCACTGCAACCTCCGCCTCCCGGGTTCAAGCGATTCTCCTGCCTCAGCCTCCCGAGTAGCTGGGATTACAGGCATGTGCCACCACGCCCGGCTAATGTTGTATTTTTAGTAGAGACGGGGTTTCACCATGTTGGCCAGGCTGATCTCGAACTCCGAACCTCAGGTGATCCGCCCACCTTGGCCTCCCAAAGTGCTGGGATTACAGGCATGAGCCACCGCACCCGGCCCATCTGTGGGTTATTAATGGCGTCTCCCCGTATGTGAGGCCAATGCCCAGCGCACAGTAGGTGTTCAGTAGATTCCCAAATGCATGAACAGTTGGTGAGTGTCTACTGTGTGCTGGGCCCAGGCAGGTGCTGGAAACACAGTGGGATGAGAAGGAACGTAGGGATTTTGTATCAAACTAAGCAGGGCGAAGTGGCTCACGCCTGAGACCAGGAGTTCAAGACCAACCTGAGCAACATAGTGAGACCCTGTCTCTACACAAATAGAATTAGGCTGGGCACAGTGGCCCATGCCTGTAATCCCAGCACCTTGGGAGGCTGAGGTGGGAGGATTGCTTGAGCTCAGGAGTTGAAGACCAGCCTGGGCAACACGGTGAAACTGTCTCTACTAAAAATAAAAAAATGAGCTGGGTGTGGTGACAGGCGCCTGTAATCCCAGTAACTCAGGAGGCTGAGGCAGGAGGATCACTTGACTGGGAGGCAGAGGTTGCAGTGAGCCGAGGTCGCACCACTGCACTCCACCCTGGGCCACAGATGGAGACCCCCATCTTTTTTGTTTTGTTTTGTTTTGTTTTGTTTGAGATGGAGTCTCGCTCTGCCGCCCAGGCTGGAGCGCAGTGGTGTGATCTCAGTTCACTGCAACCTCCGCCTCCCGGGATCAAGCGATTCTCCTGCCTCAGCCTCCTGAGTAGCTGGGATTACAGGCACCCGCCACCACGCCCAGCAAATTTTTCTATTTTTAGTAGAGACAGGGTTTCTCCATGTTGGTCAGGCTGGTCTTGAACTCCCGACCTCAGGTGATCTGCCCGCCTCAGCTTCCAAAAGTGCTGGGATTACAGGTGTGAGCCACCGCGCCCAGCAGAGACCCCCATCTTTAAAAACAAAACAGAACAGAACAGAGGGCTCAGCACGTGCCAGGCCTGAAGTTTAATTCTCACAAAAGCTCCACGTCGTGGACACAATTTAACGGACAACACAACAACACATAGCACACCCAGGCCCCTCGGCCCCTCCTGCTGGCCACCCGGCCCCCGATCAGACCCAGGACCCTCGGCCCCTCCTGCTGGCCACCCGGCCCCCGATCAGACCCAGGACCCTCGGCCCCTCCTGCTGGCCACCCGGCCCCCGATCAGACCCAGGACCCTCGGCCCCCTCCTGCTGGCCACCCGGCCCCCGATCAGACCCAGGACCCTCGGCCCCCTCCTGCTGGCCACCCGGCCCCCGATCAGACCCAGGCCCCTGGGCCCTCCACCTGCTGGCCATCCGGCCCCAGTCTAACCGTGGAGTGCGGGCCGGAGCAACCCAAGTGCCAGGCCAGTGTCTGTGTGCAACCCAGTGGCCCTGGGCTTCCAGGGCACTCCAGTGTCCATTTGCGACCAAGTGGTCACCTTGCTGCTGCCGGCGATGGGACAGACCTGGGAGCGGGACGCTGGGCACCCCCAGGCCCCTCTGAGGCTCTGAGAGACCCCCGAAGTCTCACCGGGTGCTGTGAGATGGGGGTGCTGTTTCCCAGTTTCTCAGCACTTCCTTGGAACAGCTATGAAAGCAGATGCTTGGCTGGGCGCGGTGGCTCACACCTGTAAGCAGAGATCTCCCGACTCTCCTCTCTCCTGATCAGTTGTTTGGGTGTTGCTAACTTTGTTTTATTTTATTATTATATTTTTTTGAGACAGTGTCTAGCTCTGTCACCCAGGCCGGGGTGCAGTGGCACGATCTTGACTCACTGCAGCCTCCGCCTCCTGGGTTCAAGTGATTCTCCTGCCCCAGCCTCCTGAGTAGCTGGGATTACAGGCACCTGTCACCACACCCAGCTAACTTTTTTTATTTATGTATTTTTTGTAGAGACGGGGTCTCACCGTGTTGGCCAGGCTGGTCTTGAACTCCTGAC